AGGAAGAGGGCCATGTGACACATCAAACTTATTGGTAATGTCACAAGAAAAACAATGGTGTGCTGCTTTTCACGTCAAAAAGTCCTTATAAATGAGTCTCCAATAACACCAGAAAAAGTCGCCAGATTTGTTGCTAGTCGCTTTTTAGAAAAAAAAGTTGCTAAGGGGATCTGAAAACTCGCTAAATATAGCAACAAAGTCGCTAAGTTGGCAACACTGGTGCCACGAACAGGACTTTAATATCACCAGCCATTCCCATGTTATTACGGTGTATCCAGATAAATGGCCCACCCTGTATATCCTACTGCTAAGATGAGTGATTGTAAAAGAAGACAACTATTTTATAGAGCAAAAAAGAGCAAAAAAAATTCTAAAGGGAACATTTATTTTATTTATTTTTATTTTATTTTATTAGTATTTTCCTTAAATGTGTCAAATATATATTTTCTCATCTAAATGTCCACTGAGCTGTGAGCCAGGGGGCGGTAATGCGCCTTAACATTGGTCGCCAACCAAGAAGAAGAAGAAGAAGAAGAAGCTGTGAGCCAGGAGGGAGGGGGTGAGTGAGTCCTGAGTAATTAGTTCATGCTATGATTCAGCTCAGGAAGGGAGGGGGTGAGTAACTCAAATGTGCTGTTAGCATGTTAGCAGAGCGATGCTACTGTGAGCTGAGAAACTATTGTCTTGATGTGAGCTTCTACTCAGGGTTCTTTCTTCCAGTTCAGAGCTGGCTGTTTTTTCCCCACAATTTTAATTATAAGCTAGATATATTTCTACTAATGAAATTAGTTTGCTAACAGCAACAGGGATGAGTCAGTGAGATAGTTGGGCTTGTGAATCATGATTCACGAGTCAGTAAAGTGATTCTCGAGTACTGAACGATTCGTTCATGATTCGCTCATCACTAGCAGCATGGCCTCTTCACCTGTCCCTCCTGCACCTGCTCATTGTGTCAGATGTTTAGTTACTCCTCGGTCTTCTTTAGCATTAATGATACTTGTAATAAATGTAGCCTATTTGCAGCTCTGGAGGCCAGGATTACTGAATTGGACACTCGGCTTTGCACCCTTGATACACCCGTAGCTAGCCAGGCCCTTGTAGCTGGTGCAGCCGAAGGTAGCGTAGGCTTAGCAGGCGACATAAATTCAGTAGCAGTAACATTACGTCAGTTGGAGGTCACTAAAATCAATATTGAATCGGTGTGCAACTTTGCCAAAACAATGTGGGACT